GTCAGTGTGTGAGGCCACGGACTGCAGGTCTTCTGTGGTTCCTTCTTGGGTGCTCTGCGTTCTCTGCCAGAGGCTGGCTTAGTGGGAGGAGCTGGCGAGAGCCGTGAGGTCTCCAGGCACCTCCTAGGACTCACGGCTGGCTCCGCTCTGCTCCCCTCCTAGCCTCTCCCTGGGTCTGCTGCTGCTGCTGCTGCTGCCGCCGCCGCCCCCCCAGCTTTCCAGCACCCGGGATCGCCTCTTGCGCTGGAGAGGTGCAGCCCCCAGGCGACGTTTGTTTCAGGTCAGGCTCCAGAGGGCTTGTGGGGAGAGGGCGAGCATGTCCTCACAGGGCAAGCGGGACTTCCCTCAGGCTCACGTGGGAAAGGCTGAAACGCCCAGAAGAGGCCAAGGGTCCTCTCCCCATCTGTGCCCCTTATGGCTCCCAGCCTCTTGCTCCCCTCCAGGGCACCGGGCCCTCACTCTGGCATGGCACTAGCTGTGGCTTCCACTGCCCCCCTTCCTCGCTGCCACAGCCTCCAGAGAGGCAGGGCCAGTTTGGCAGTGAGCCACGATCCAGCTTTGAGGTTCCAGGGCCCCGCTTGCTAGTGCCAGGGAAGCCGGCGGGGGCACGGGTGCCCAGGTTTGCGGCTCTGCAAGCAGAGGTCAGAGGTAGCCTGGCTGGAGAGGCAGCGGGCGTTGAGGGCAGCGGGCTTGCAGTGAGACACCAGCTGATGGAGCGTTCGTCTGGAGAAAGAGGGGCTCTGATTACCGTGACAACATGTGGGCCCAGCTGTGTGTGTTTTGGGGCTCAGAAGCAAGAGGAGCCTTCTGCCTTTGGCACCGCCAGGTTCAGGAATGTCTGACTGGTGGGAAGCAGGCTATCTGCTGGTGCCGGGGCAGGGCTTCTCTGCCAGCAGGAGGGCAGGGGCCGCACCCCCCTGCAGGAAGCGGCTTGCGGGCTTTCAGCGCCGTGGCTCCTGTCGTGCAGGCTTCACCGGCTTTGTGCCTCGCATCCAGTTCCTGATTGGAGGTAGCTACCCCATCCTCGCCCACCAGGCAATGGCGGAGTCCGACCAGATGCTCCGCAAAACGGGGCGAGATTCTTCACGGAGGGGGGAAGCCCTCCCTGCCCTGGCCAAGACGTACCCCCTGGACAGGGGCCTCCTGCCGCACTACAGAGGTTACGTGCCAGGTGAGTACGCTGCCCGCCCTGACTTCCCCTGCCTCTTGGGCCTCGCCTCCCCGCCACAGTCCGCAGCTTGCTTTACAAGGCTCGGCACAGACATCTCTGGGCCACTCAGCATCTTGCAGGAGAAGGAGGCCCCGGGGCCGCGAGATTTTGGCTGTGCTGTGCCGCTTGCGCCAAATGTAGTACTTGCCGGGGGTTGCAAATGGTCAGGGTTGTGCTGCATATTTCCTGCCTTCCCAGTTCATGCCCATGGAATGAAGTGATATTGTGCCACACCTGGCCAAGCATTTCTCTTGCACGCTCAGGCCTTTTGAGGATTTCTTCCGCAGCCACCTCGAAGGCACACAAAGAGGAACAGCACCCATGCTGATTCAGGAAAAAAAGAGCCCCAAATCCATCTTTCCACAAGACCTTGATTCACAGCAACCCAACTGCGGAGGGTGCCAGTGCTTCTGCTCTCTGGAGCGATGCATCAAGCTGTGAGCAGACCCAGACAGGCAGTCCAGGTATCGGCTGGACAGCCATGAGATATGCAGCCCAAACTCCCTCGTACAACAGGTTTAGCTCAGCCACTAATCCAGTTACATCATCTCACCAATGGGTCGACGGCCCACCGCAACACCAGCCAGACTAAAGGCTACCCCTGTGTAGGACCGAGACCCCTCACCCTTTGCCTGGGGCCGCACAAGCCCCTGCAGCAAGACGGTCCCAGCAAAGGCCCACTGACTCAGCAGCTCCCCCCCGCCGCGGGCAGGGCACCAGCTGTGCACGCCGATCATGGAAGCTTTGCCCTTTCAGCTCTTGTCCTCGGAGGCCTGGATAAGCAGCGCCCCAGGACTGCCTGTTTGCCATGGACTGACAGTGTTCACAAAATGCTGCTAACTGGGGAGGGGTAGTTTAACCCAAAACAAACCCTAGACCGTTCTGGATTAAAACTGCTGCTGCTGCACCGCTGGTGATTTCTCACAACACTTTTGCCCTGTTATTGACCCAATTAAACAAGCTGTTTGAACCTAGGCGCTCTGCGTAGTGGCCAGATCACTGAGGCTTACCCAGAAAAGCAATCGCGAGGTGATGTATGAATGCAGTGAATGATCACAGATCGAACGGCTTAGCCTTCTTTACGTTTATGATGGAGCTGGGGCTCTTCTGTGTTTTCACGGACGTTTTGCTCCTTGAAGAAGGCAGGAATAATTCTGGGTAAAAACAGGATGGCGTTGCGTGGATGCCCCATAGAAAATGAGGCTTCTCCCACACACACAGGGCTTGTCTGCTGTGCGTAAGCCAAAGGAAATGAAGCCCCCTTAAGGAATCTCGTTCCAGATTTCAAGCCTGCAGGGGAGGCCCTGGAGTCCAGGGTGGGTTTCCGGGCCCCCCCCCCCCCGCCCGGCAAACCGGCTCCACCGTCCTTCCTCCCCTTGGGCGGGCCCCTTACGGGGACCACACTCCCCCCCCCCCCCCGCCCGGCAAACCGGCTCCACCGTCCTTCCTCCCCTTGGGCGGGCCCCTTACGGGGACCACACTCCCCCCCCCCCCCCGTGCCAGGAAAGCAGGCTTCAGTTGCTTTCCTTCCCTTGGGAGGGGCCTTTAAGGGCACATGGCTTCCACCGACGGCCCTTTTGGTCAGCCCCCTCAGTTGGCGTCCCCGCTCCCTGCGCTTGACCCCGTCCGTGGTTTGAGACAAAGGCGTTTCTTTCGGGCGTTGCTGTTGCTTTGCAGGGAAATGGACAGAATTCTCCTCAAATCCGGGGGAGGGAGGGGGAGGGCGTTTATTGGTCAGCATCCAGGGCGCCCTGGTCGTGCAAGGCAGGGCCAGGGACTAGAGGGGCGGGGCGTTCCTCCCACGGACATAGAAGCGATTGGCGACGGTGGACCGAAAGGTGACGCATCACCGCCAGAACTCTGCTCTGCTTGCACAGCGGCGTTCCGGTCCCCTTCCTGGCGGGCTGGAGGCGCGCGC